CTGGCACTGATATACAGATCGGATTTTCTCATTCAGTTGGAATGGCTATTTTCGGAATAAAATAAAATTGCCCTTACTTTCAAGACAGACGAACTTTTATGTTTTTGCAAAATGAAACCAAAACTGCCCTACTCAGTCCTCAGATTAACTTGCAGATAGATTTAGGACTCTCTGCACTGCAGTGCTCTTCAGTGTCTTTAGCAAGCAAGCACTGCATGTAATAGACTTACTGACGCTTTCTCAAATACTAAATTACCAATAACTACAGATTGCCCAGTTATGATTAAAATTTAGAAGTCATCCCAAGTTGTGTATTTAAAGTACTCAAAAATGAATTCACTTGGAAATTACCACGAAAATATCTAATTTCAATGCATTTCAAATCTTCCACTTTATGCTTGCTTGACTCAAACATTCAGCAGACAGTAAATTGCTTTTAACTTGCAAAATGTACTACAAACTACTTCTTCACTTCAGCAAACGCATAGAAACAAGAGAGACGTAAATCCATCCATTATCACAAGCATATCAGTTTGTACACCGCTACTTTGCAGTTTGACGAATAGCTAATCTGATGACTCAATGCGTAATACTAAATACCACAAGCGTTCATCAAAATGTCACGTAATCAATAAGTATACAAATGAGTAGTTTCAAAAATAATTGTAAATATGAAAGATTTTTCGATTTCTGACGAAGAGTTATATCGCTTTATGGAGAGGAATTTTTCGCACTTTGCGAAGGACGAAATTTTCGCACCGTTTGAACTGAAGTATTAAGTCAGTGAAGAGAGATTTATATATAGTACCAAGCATGCTGAGCGAAACTTTTCTCAAGTCAATGTTTCATTGCGCAGAATTGTGCTGCACAAATAAAAACGAGAAATACTAATGTTTTCTCAAGATTTTTTCTGCAGTCACTATTTTAGTTCTCTTGAAGAAGGTAATTTTTCAAAGATGAATCATATGTGTTTGGTAGGTATAAATTATGCGCAATCGTGTGTGACTCATCGGATTCGGAAGTTCTTTCAGTAGAAGTAAAGAATGATGCAAAGAAAGATGATGCTTTACGTGTGTGTGTAATGCAGTGATAAAAGAACTGATTCTACACTAATGCAGTGATGCCAGTCATGGCTTGAGGCTAATATACATTTTTCTATCATCATTCACTGTATATTCTGAAGTGAAATATTGCACAATTTATTGTATTTTTATATTCCATCTACAACTGTCATCTTTACAATACGAATTTAATTATCATCACGCATATTGACCAATGAATAGAATTGTTTTCGAATTCTTTACAAGCGCAAATAAAAATGGCTCATCAGCTTTGAAGTCTTGGGCCCACAAAGAAAGTGGTACGAAAGAAGCAAACGTCGTAGCTGCTGCTTCTGTTCCCTCCTCGTTCACCTGAAGAAGCTCATAACTATGATTTACTGCTGGAATTAATAAATTTCTAGAATAGTTTAATTAATGACTGCATTCTTATCGGATGATAGTAACAAACCGAAATGAATCCTTTATGGATAATATCATCGATATGTATTTCCCGGATAGTTATGCCTCCAAACTCAGCATTTGATCCGAAGGCATTATTGAGTTTAAGGTTTTGCAGTACTTGCTTCAAAGTTACTTTGCTTTCAAGAGTGAATTTGGGCAGTTGCAGCTAAAATTAATTAGTCTTTTATAAAGTGTAGCTGAATGATTGTGATCTGCTCGCACCACTTTGCTGTTTAATGATTTTTCTCAATAATGCAAAGATATTTGATTAAAGTACGATCGTCATCTAAAAATCGATAAAACGATCAATCTAACTGAATATAATATTAGTTCAAATCTCATTTAACTTCATTCATTCC